CACAATGGAGGTATTTGATACCTTTTCTTTGTTTATTAGGACTAGAAACATGCAAAGGTTAAGTTAGAAATCAGAAACTAGGTAGAATTTTACCTGAATTTGGCATTTGGGTGTTTCGGGCATGTGACGGGCTGTTGTGACATGCGCCACATGGCTTGTGGCGTGCACCACTTTGAATGGTGTTTGGCTGGACTATAGGCTTGCGGCGTGCTCCGCAGGGCTTGTGGCATGTGCCACTACTTTGTGGCTCGCGCCACATTGTCTGTGTTACACCTTAATTTTGCAATTTTTGATGTTTTTCCCTACTTACCTGCATCAAAACACAAAAACACATGCTTTTGCACTCTATTTGCTAGTCTTATTCTATTTCTAGATATAAAACCAATGCTCAACTTATATGGTTTAAGTGCATGAATTTCATCTTTTGATTCTTCACTCGCTTACCTAATATCAAGTACATAAAGGGATCTGACTTTTATTTTACAAGTGTTTATGTTGCATAAATTGAATCAGAAATCTATATCACATTATAGAAGCTTGAATTTTTAATAAAGCCACCCATCATTCCAAAGGTAATAGATATTAATCCATCCCTAGAATGGTTGGATTACTCACTCATTTTAGATAAAATAATACAAACAACTAAATAGCAATTCATATCTTTTTATTGAGAGAAAAAGAATGAAATTATAGAAGGGTTGTTTTAAATAAAAATGATAATAAAACAAAGAACATAAAAAGAAACAGATAATAACATAGGAGAATGAGGATCAGGTATGGGTTTTGTTGAGTCTGAGACTCTGTTGCTCAAAACCTTTCTTTCCTCACCTCTAAGATTATGAACACTACACTAAATATTTACAAAGTAATATTCTAACATTCCTAAGTTTTCCTTAATTTGCCAAAGTTCTAGGCCCTTTCTCTATTGATTTATGCTACTATTTATAGAATTTCAAATGGTTGGAGGCTACTCTTCTGCACAATTTGGCAAGTGGGGCAAGTGGGCTGCGTCCAATCAAATTACAGCTAAGCTGGAGCTGTCGTTCAATGAATGGGGACTTCTAGCCTTAGAATTAGTGTAGGCGATCGCTTGATGCAACTTTGGAGGTTAGGAGATCGCCTAACACACATAAGTCATCACTTGAGGTAGAATTTAGGCCATAGGAGATCGCGTGAGTGGTGGTTTGACCTTAGGAGTAGCCTAGTGATGGATTTAGCTTTAAGAGATCGCCTAGTGCTTGATTTAGCCATAGGAGGTTGCCTAGTGCACATAGATGGTCTCCTAGCCTCCTTTTCTTGGCTTAGGCGATAGCTTATCTTCTATTTCCATCTTTTTCATGCCTTAGGCAATAGCCTAAGTTCATGCCTTTGTTTGAACTTGGGCTTTCCTCCTTTTGGACTTGGTTTGTGGGCTTCGTTCCTTCGCAGATCGTCCTCAATTTGGGCTTTGTAAAATGGGCTTGCAATATTAACTCTCAAATTGAGCTTTTTTTCGAATTCAATTGCCAAATTTTCCGCAGATTTTATGAAGAACACATCTTTTTTAAGTTTCTAAAGCTCCTCCTTGCATAAAACTACAATGCTGTAAATATCCTAGGATAAGTGCACAAATGTAGCCATTTTATTAACTAATTAGGTTTACTGGAGAGATAGCAACAATCTCGTTGATGTGTGAAAAAATACTTATAAGGAATGATAATCTCAAATCTTGAAATGAGATTAATTTTATACCTAGAAAAAGTGCAAGGATGCTTGTAAGGAAAAAATGAAGAAGAGGAAAACCCACTAATATTACATAAATTTATTAAGAAGAATCCAAAAGGATAAGTAGATGGTTTGCTGACAAGTAAATATATTGCATTCATTAGATATTATTATTTTATATATTTATAGCCTTTTTTAATTTGTAAATTTCTATGGTATACATGATTTATTTTTTATTGGACCATGGAGATAAAATTGAAATTAAAACTATTGGCCCATAACATGACTTAATTGCAGTAAAACAGGAGAAAAAGGGTGGAATGTAGGGTTTTAAATGGCCTGAAAGTTTAATGACAAGTGAAAACGTCAGTTGCATAAACAACTCAAATTATGTCCTTTGACAGTGGGGAAAACAATAGGTATTTCTTGTCGAGAAATCATAGAATATTTATAGGCCATTTACAGGTCATTTTGTATCTTCCATAGTTGAAACATTAACTAGAAACAAATATTGCCTATCCAATATTTCCTCCGTTTCATAAAACTTGTCACATTTGAGAAAATAGTTTGTTCCAAAATATTTGTCATATTTGTAGTTTTAAGAAGAAATAAATTTTTTTTTCCATGTTTACTCTTTATATATGACCAATAATTATTACTTCAATTTAATGGTTTTTTGGAGAATTAGTATTAAATTAAGAGTAACATAGTCAATTTACTTCATAATTTATTGTAACTTAGACAAATTTAATAGTTTTCTTAAGGGACGTGAAATTTTAAATATGACCAGTATTATGGAACAAAGGTAGTATATTTTATGAAATTTGAGTAATTTTGCTGCCACAGTTTAGTTCTTAATTAGAGAAGTCAAAATTGGAATTGAACAGTTTTAGATTTTATGTTAAAATTGAAACCGTGTACCTATAGTCTGGTTTTGACTCCTTATTTTTCAAAATCAAAACCGATAGTTCAATTGTGAAATTCAAATATTATCAAAGAAGGTTTAACTGTCAATATTACTTCGAATTCTTTTAGTAGTTGCAATTTCACCATGAATTAAATTGATCTTTGCATTTTGGACATCTTGAACTTATCAATCTAGTTGCAATTACATTATAATTTGCTTTTTAGGGTGGAATTGCATCCTAAAAGTGAAGTAGGACATTCTGAACTTATCAATCTATTGCAGTTGTACCTAGAAGCAAATTAAGGTTAGAATTTAATTAAAATAATATAAAGATGCACTACATTAGGCATGGCCACGGTTCGAACCGAACCGAAATTAAACCGTACTGTAGAATTCAAATCGGACTGAAATTATCAATTCAAAGTTTTAAATTGGAACTGGCAGTTCAATGGCCGATTAAGGTTCATGCGAATGTTAAAATTTGAACCTGAAACAGTCCAGAACCTGCAGTTCTAGTCTAGTTCGAAAACTATAATCACTTAGCATATTCTATACACCTCTAAAGATTTAAAATAATTTTTTACTGCACTATAAATTTAACTTAAAAGGTTTTTTTTTTTTAAAAAAAATAAACTTTACTTAAAAAGTTAAAAATCTAAAAAAGGTAACATGGCAAAAAAAAAAGTGAAATATTTACTCTAAAATTATATTATTTGATTCAAATGAAAGTCAAATGTTTTTTTCCTGTTAAAATTTTTACGTAGTTCAAAATTTTTTAAAATTTTTCTAATAATTTATTAATTAATAATTTGAAAAAATAAAATAATAATTTATTTTATTATTTTGTAAATTTAATTAAATTTATTTCTCATATGAGTATGAGCATTTTAAAAGTTATTTAAAATAAAACTTAACGATATTTTTGAAAATTCATATTAATCATTTTGAAAAGAAAAATATAACCTTAGAATCGATTTTTTTTTTTTTTTGAAAGAAAAAATAATATACATGTCACTGAAATTATGATCGAAACCGTCGGTTTATTGAAACACGTCGGAACCAAAATCGAACTAAAACCGACGATTCAAAGATTGATTCAAGTTCAATATTTAAAAAATTTTGAACCGTTCTAGACTCCATAACTAATCCAAGTTTAATTAAATGCAAAAAACACGTCGTTTGGATTAAAAGTGAGAATTAATATTTTGCTCATTTTCTCCTCCAATTTGGTATCTCTATCCTTTTTGTAGGAAATCAAACGGTGACTACCGATAGTGGTAAATGAATGAATCACCGTGTTCATTGTCGTGGCTCTAAGAAGAGTAAATTGAATTAGTACCAAACTCATTTTGCATCTTAAAATTGGTTAAATTGTAAAATCGAAGGCTCAAACTTGATTTCACTTATTAAATAAACACTTTGATTTGCTTTTATTGTTTATTGTTTAAATAATTAGATTACAGAATTTGTTTTTCCATTAATTTAAACACTACGTTTTACATTTGCTTTTACAGAGTCCATTTTCAATTTTTTTTTATGAAAATCATAACATTAATTTGCTTTTATGAATTGCACCTTAACCAGAACCGATGTTTCATATGGTCTTAAGAAACATTTAAGGGTGGTTGGGTTCAATTCTATCCTTATATGGAACCGAAAACTGCACTTTTGGAACATGTGCTAATTGTTGCATATATATATACATAATATAAGAGATTATAATGATACAAACTTTTATTGTTATCTTTCTTTTAAGAGTTTGTTTGAAATTGTCGTTTAAACAGTTATTGAAAATAAAATGTTGTATTGAAACATTAAAATTATTTCTAGAGTGAATTAGATATTTTCTAATAATAAATTAGTCAAAACAACAAAATTAAAATGTATTATTCTTAACAGTTGTAGAAGAAATTACGTGGCAAGAATAATATTTTGATTTTACAGCCTAAATATTGTTATTAATTATGTTGAGAAACAAGTTCATACTAATATTCTATATTTAAGAAATGATTTTTTTTTTTTTTAAGTTGTTGAAGGCAATAAGAAATATTTTTTTTTTCATAGATACCATGTATAAACTTTCGAAAAAAGAAAATCTTATTTACTTAAATTAAATAACGGTTTTTCAAACTATTTTTTTAATACTTAAAATCATACTTTTCAAAAACATATATGTTTAATGCAAATTTAGACTAAACACATTATATTAAATTTCATTATGGCTCACTAAATACAACCTAAAAATTTCTTACATATACTCAAATAGAGATAATTCATATATCATTTTCTAGAAGTTAGATAATTAATAACAATAACAATAAAAGATTTACCTATTACTGAATTTCAAATTCTAATCCAAACAGTAAAAAAATTACATAATTCAACCAACTCAAACAGTAAAAAAAGAAAAAAAAAATCATTCTACAAGCCATACATAACATTCTCTTTTCCAATTTTCAAAATTAATTCCTTTTTTATGGCATAATAGGAGATAATAGTACATTAACTAACAAAATCTATGCTCATAAATTAATCATCTAGTAGACTAATAATTCTTAACTAACTAATATCTTCCACAAATGGAAACCATTAATTAACTATGTATCAAGCTGAAGGGACATGGTAGTATTTCCCTTTACACATGCACCTGTAAACAATAGGGCAAGACTCTCCAATGGAGCACTTGAAGCTCACCATCACCCTCTTGCAGGGAAAGCATGGTCCACAGGCATGAGAACAGTCCGGTAAACTCGAACCGGTCGGATATACCTCCATTTCTTCTTCCTTTAATTAAAATGCATATAACCCATAAAATTGAATTATTAAAACATTTGATTAACATATAATTAAATTAAAAATCAAAACCTGTTAATTTATTAATTAACTATTAGCTATCAAATTAAACAAACCTTGACATACACGCGATTTTCGTCACCTTTTGATGCAATCTTTTTATGTAAACTGATGGAAATATCTATAGAAATAATTGAAAATAAATAAATTAAAAAAAAAAAGTAAGTCCTTGAAATAAAATTGTATTTTACTTACAATGGTGAGGCCTGAGGGCTTTACCAACAAAGAGTGCCATGAAAATAAGCAGAAGAAGGAAAGATTTGTGGGCTCCAAATAAGAGCTTCATGTTCCACATTTGTTGTAGAAAAAGAAAGTGATTTGATAAAGGAAGAGGTAAAGGTTGGCAATAATATATGTTGAGGTTGGTTTTAATTAAATGTTAAAGAAGGTACATCTGATACACTTCACATGATCCACGGCTACCCTTTGAAGAGGGTTTCACATGTTTCGGTGAGTCCAAAAATATTGTAAAATATTTACAAGAAAAAGCTTTAAATGAACATATAATTAATAATAATAATAATCATATTATAGTAAGTTTTCAAGTACAAATTTAAAACCTGTATTGAATAGTGGAAATATTTGAAGCAGAGATTGCTTTAATCATTTATTGCCAATCTATTAATATCTGGGTTGTGCTTAATTGCTTATCACATCCAATGAAAACAATTTATGGTAACAGAAATTGCAGTCTTATAACTTTTAAATGTTAACAAAATACAGCATCAGTCAAAAGGATTTCAAACACTAAATGTGTTACAACATGTAAAATACTTCATCCGTTTTATTTTAATAGTAACATTTACTCTTTTTACAAAAATTAAAAAAAATGATTGGAACATTATTAATTTTATAAAAATATATGCTAAAATGTCTAAATTGTCATTCTTAAAATTAAAAACCCCCTATTAATTTCGCTACAAAACACTTAATAGATATGGTAAAATTTTTAAAAAAATTAATACACTCTCAAAATTCTAAATGAGTAATGGAACAATGTAAAATGTTTCTTTATTATTATTAAAGTGATAGGGAGGGACTAACTTTTACATACTAAATGATCAAAATAAATTAAATTTAAAACTCACTGTCTTTCATTTCAAATGTGATTTTAGAAAATTGATAAAGTTTTTGTTTTTTTTTACATTTATTTCCTAGCGTTTTATTAAGTATATAGTAGTTATGTTATTTTAATTGGAGGGTTACTGTGTCTCGTGTGATTCGCAATGTTGTTTGTGATTTATTAGATCTTTCATAAATGGGGAAAGAAATGAAATGAGATACAAAGTAATAATTATTTAGAATATTTATAAAATGATAATAATTGATTTAGTTAAGATTATTTAATTATTATTGTACAATTCATTTGAAAGACACTTGGAAGGAGACACGAGGGAGTTCACGTGTGAGAATGGTAGCAGAGTTTCAATTGAAGAAGGGATTGCCCCAAACGTGAAGGGGAGGCCTCAGGTTTAAATGAAGTTGTTCCATCCCTTAAAACACACTTGTCCTTTTGCCACTGCTACATGACTTTCTGACTGTTGTCCGTATCTAATAACTGCTCCCTTCAAATACTTGAGGAATAAATTTCCGTTTACACTCTAAACTTTTTTGTAATATTCAATTGGGAAAAGAATTTTGATGTCCATAATCCATTGGGCCTCCCATGAGATAGGGTGAGAAAACGGTCAATTCACTTTAAACTGCACGGAATCAAGGCTAAAAAATGCAAATCGAATTTTTTGGATAAGACTGAATCAGACTGATTTTAATCAGTTCTTTTTAAGCCTAACTAATAAATTTCAATGAAAGCATTTCCATTCAAACAATAATTTCGGTTCAAACGGAATAGATCAATCAATCGAATCTCTCTTGAATAGCTGATCAAATCAAACCAAAATGGATCGGTTTAGTTTTCGATTTCATTCGGTTGATGCTTTTGCACACTCCTATCCTATTTATATTAAAAATATATATATATATATATATTTAATCAGTTCTTTTTTAAGCCTAACTATAATTTCAATGAAAGCATTTCCATTCAAACAATAATTCGGGTTCAAACGCGAATAGATCAATGCAATCGAATCTCTCTTGAATAGCTGATCAAATCAAACCAAAATGGATCGGTTTAGTTTCGATTTCATTCGGTTGATGCTTTTTGCACAATCCTATCCTACTTTATATTAAAAATATATATATATAGATATATATATATATATTCAATTGGAAAAAGAATTTATATATATATATATATATATATATTCAATTGGAAAAAGAATTTAAAGATCCCTAAGATCTGGCCTAATTAAGTACTTTATTCTTGTAATTTCGAGAACTGATTTATTCATCCCTGAGTTTTCAGTCCATCAAACAAAACACCATTCTGACTAAAAAATGATCGTTTTGCATTAGTCAAAGAGAAAAAAATCTTAAACATAGTAGTTTTGCGATTAGTCAGAGAGAAAAAAGCCAATCTTAAGAGAGAAAAATATTAGTTATGACAAAAATAAAGTTGTGGTATTGTGAGTAGCTTCTCTTCTTGTTGAGAACATTCCAGAAAATCAATAGTTACGGTTTCAAAACTCAAATTCCTCGAAATTGGTTTTGAACCAAACAATATCTCTCTCATGGTTGTCCACAATAGTCTCTCTCGTCTTTCATTTGCTAGAATTTCAATCTTTCCCTTACACTTTTCTTGATTAAGATCAAAATAGATACATTATAACGTAAAGAGATGTCTTAATAGTTCAATTCTAAACGAAAGAAATATAAGTGAGAAATATGCAATTGCTTGTGGGAATTTCTTACCAAAGAGAGAGAGTGTTTTGTTTCTTTTATCAGCTATTTTTCTCCTTATTCAGTTCTTATCATGAAGGTTCTCTTTTCTATTTGTTCTCTGTAGCTTATTCATTTTATTTTCTTTTTGACTTTTTTTTTGAAGTGATATAAGTTAGGGGCATAAATATATACGAATGTAATTTTATAATGAATCAAGAAGCAATTAGAACAAGAATCCTTCAAGAAATTGAAATGCTCATCAAATTTCTTTGCATCAAATCAAAAAGCACCCGTACCCATTTTCACTGGCAATCCAAGACAAATCTTAGCAGATGTAGTCTCCAAGTTACCAGTTTCACCATGCAGCGCTGCTTCAACAATGAACTTGGAAGCCATCTCAAAAGACGTTTTACCAAAACTGCTGATTGGACGATAACCACTTGACTGGGTCCTAAAATCAGCAACAAGTGACAAGCGCCAAGTACCAATAGATATACCACTTGAATACGTGATTTATCTCTCTAATGATAGTTTCCCTGGCAGCTTCTACTTCATAAGTTTTTAAGATAGCATTAATGTTGTTGGTGTAAATATACCTGATATCCAAGTGATCATGGATTTGCCAAAAAGTGCTAAAATCCACCGCAGTTGCTTCTAGTGCAGGAACATTTTGTTTTTCATTCGGACTAATATCAACCCCTTTCTTTAGACCATCCCCATAGTAAATCACTTGACATCTTTCAATCCCCCCAGGGTTCTAGACGTAAACCTTCTTGGCTGTATTCTGAGCAATCTATATATATGATTAAACAAACATTTTGTTCTCCCCTATTGGTGTTAGAAAGAATTTAATAGCATATGAACAAGAACGCCATTGGTGCTTTAGACGTAATTACCCACTTACATCAAAATCTAGTAATTGGTAAACATAATTATTCTTAGGATGACGTCAACTAATGGATGATGATTGACCACTATGGTTCTCAATTGAGATAGGGCAAGAAAACATCAGGATATGGCAGCCCGTAAGTAGGCACATGCTTATCATGCTAATTAGCCTAAATAATCAAATCGAAGGTGGATGATGGTTACAATCCTAGGCCACTAGTCTAAAGAGCACTGGAAACTTAAAATCAATATCATGAACTTAGGAGAGGCACAATAAGAAAAAAAGTTAAAATCTATCAAATTGCACGAAGCGTTTTAAATGGAGGTCAAAATTGACATACAAATACAAATATGGTAAAAGCTAAAACACCGGTTGCAAGTTACCTCAGCTAGCAAAATATGAGGCTCATGGTGAATTTGAAGTGGACCTCAAAGTGCATATCTCTGGCTTCCACAAAGATTGCTCTATCATATTTCTTTTTTCAATAATTTTCGCCAGTGTGTACGTTTGACCTTTTTCTTCTTATTCCTTGACTTGGCCCTAGAATGGATTCCACCCCACGATGGATTTTCAGTAGCTTCGTCCTTTAACTTAGGCTTGGAGGCCTTTCTAAGGAGTGGAGTTTCAGAAGGTTCATTATCAAGCATGACATCCTTACTAACCTCAGTCTCATTATCTCCATGATCAATTTCACTTTCAAATTCAGACTCCTCACTGGCTGTAGATTCCCTTTCCTTCAGTTCCTCAAACTCACACTACAAGAAAATTACGAAATAGAAACGGAATTTAGAAACTGATTCCTTTGGTTTCTAGCTAACAACGGATTAGAAACGGAAAAGAATTCAAAATATTGCTTACATTAGAAACGGATTATTTAGAAATAGAAAGCTCCGTTGCTGAGTTTCGCGGAAATTAGCGCGCTATTATAGAAACGGATTAGAAAAACGAACATAGGAAACGGATTTAAAGTCCGTTTCCAAGTTTCATGAGAAGTGAATGCTCATCATTGAAACGGGTTTTAAATCCGTTGCTAAAGCGCTTTACAATATTTACTTCTATCTTATAAAAAAATATTCAATAAATATAAAAAACGGAAAATTTTTTGAAAACTATGAGCAAAGTAATAATCTCTTTTCTTAAGCATTTACCTTTTTTATATTATATAATGTCATGTTGAGGGTGTCAAAATAGTTTTTGTTTATTTTTATTGTTTTTTAATGATTTTTTCATTTTAGTTGGTAAATTTTTCATTAAATAATAATAATTTGATTAGCTTTAACTTATAATATGACAAATAAATTTCTATAAATTTTATATTTTAAAATTTTTAGTTGATTGAAAAATAATTATTTAAATTAAAGTTATTTGAATATTAAAAACTATATAGAATGAAAAACAATATTTATTATGTAATATAAGAAATATTTATTATTCAAAAATTTGTTATCTAAATTACGTCGTTTTAAGATTATAAAAAACCAATAACCTTCCCAAACCCTAACCTTCTTAAGTCATTCTCTGTCCTAACTATTCCCAAGCTCTACCCATTCTCTCATTCTCTTAATGGCCATCGTTCTTTCATCGCTTTCCGTCATCGTTAATCACTTCTCCAAAATGAAGAAGACAATGCTCTTTCTGGAGAACTCGATTTGATACTCCACCTCATGGTTAGATAGTTTTGTCCCTCGTGATCTATCTTTGTGCTCACGCCATCTTTGTTCAATCCCTAACCCCTAGCTTCCTCGACGCTACTTTCTGAGCAAAAGCCCTCGCTGTCTCTAAACTTGTCGTTGAACTATCTCCATCACCATCTCCGTTGCTTATGAAAAAGTCAGGTAGCTTCGTGATTCTCGCTCCTCGGGACCTTATTACCCGTAATATGCAGGTACTGTTTTGTAGATCTATGGGTTTTTTCTGTCTTTTGCTTGATTTTAGTTTGTAAGTGTTTGATTAGATCTATATTTGGTTTTGATATTCTCTTCAGCTTTATTTTGATTATTTTTTTGTTAGATTCTGTTTGGAGTTCTTGTTTACTGTTTGGTGATCATATTTGCTTCGAATCTTCTTGTGTACCTTTAATTGCAGGGTTTTCTTGTGATACCAATGAAACCGTACTAAAAAATGCTTTCGAGAACATTTAGAAATAATTGAAGATAATTTATAGAGCGACCAAGTTCAGTGATTTTGACTTTCTTTTTCTTTTTTAGAAATTTCTTTTAATAAAGCTAACTAATTTAAATTTTATGTTTGATTTAGTTAAGATTATATGCTATCGTTTGAGTAGGAAATCAAAAGGGTATGAGTTCGTGCAGTTCACAGCCTCTAGCTTTGAAGGAAATGAATGGTAAGGTATGTGATTTGATTAGAGGATCTTGTTTATCTCTGTCTGGTTTGATATGCATATTTACTTGTAAAACTCATTTATAAATTGTTAAATTTCATGAAATTGAATTTACAAAGTAACGTGAAAATATGAACTTTGATATGGATATATAATATTTTTGTAGAATTAATTGCTGCGTTTGCTTGTTTCTTTCCAGTTGCTGGATGGTCCAAATATTCGTGTATATTATATACTTTTATTAATAATATTTAAAATATTCAAAACCTAATGCTTCCACATACTAGAATCATTTGCATGTGAATGTTATTGGTCCAAATGTCTAATAAATAATGTCTAATAAAGAACTGGGGCTTTGAGAGCCCAAACAATGGCAACAACAAGCCCAGAAGTGAACATGTATTGAGTAGAGATTACATTCCATTTTATACTATTAATTTAAGTCTTTTTGTTTGTTATGATAAGCGAACTTCTTTTTCTTTTAGCATAACATAATTTCTATTACTTTTTAATGGTTATAATAAGTGTTTTAATTTGTTTTAATAAGTGTTTTAATGCTTATAATTTCTATTACTTTTTTCCTTTCCTTTTTTTGTTTTTCCTGTTGGTATCAACTATAAAAAGGGTGCACTATTGGAAAAGATTAGTAGAGACTAATCATTTGCATATTCATTATATTTATTACACATTATGTTTTAAAGAAAAATGGTTTTTGTGTACTTAAAATATTATACTTTTTTTAAGTATTAATAAAGGGAATTGGCTCATAATGGCCAGTGTAAGTGTCATTCTTCTAATGTTGGTTCTTGCAGGTGTCACTTTTAGCTTCAAAAACACTTTGAAGATTACCGATGCATGTGATAGTTCTGCTGATTTTGAGTTATATTACATTAATTATAATTAGTCTTTATCTCAATTCTTCAATTTGGTTATAATTAGTCTTTATCTCAATTCTTCAATTTGGTTTTCTTATTGCAGTGCTTGCTGTACGTAGTTACAAATTAGTATGGGCTCCCTCTATAAACTGCAGTACACTACCAGAGTTCTATTCTTTTTATCTTCCTTTGTCTTTCTCTTCATTCTCAAATTTAATATATATAACCTTTAAAAAAGAATATAAACACCAATTAAGCTTTATAATTAGCTTATCATCACGCCTTTTTTTTTCTTTTCTTTTTTTATTTTTTAGAATGCATGGAGTAGAATTTAAAGAAGTAATTTTTATAGGAGTAGATAAGTAAATGTAAGCAGAGAAGAAGCAACAAGTTAGAACCATAGCACTTTGAACCATTTCATTTTTGGGCACCCTTTTTTTATATTTTTGGATTTGGAGCACACCTACCTGGAAAAGGCATTACTAGTTAACCCTATAACACTTTTCAACTTCTAATTTTATTTGGATAGATTAATTAAGTCTAATGGGTACATAAACTGATCCATTTAATTAATCATTTTTCTTCTTTAATTTAGTCATTAAGTTCTCTGCCCCTTAATTTAAGATTCTGCCATTTGCATTTATTTAGTGATAATAAGGTAAGAAAGTTATCAATATATTAATATATTGCATGGCCTTTTTCATTTAATAAAAAATAAAAACAGGCATAGATATACATTTTGAATTTGGAAACTTTGGTTTCTAGAACCTAAAAATATATGGAACTTTTTTGGATGTTGGATATGTGCGCATAAAATAGCTTTTATTGTTTGGATATATTGTTCTTCTTTGTCCTTTATGCTTGCTTGTTAATGATATAAAGGAGACAGAGCGCTATACCGACTGGGCTACAAACATCACAGCTTCAATCTCAGCAATCATTTTCACAAGGAATTTCATCTCAGCATGTCTTGTTTTCTCAGCTCTCACAGATACTCACACTGATGCTCATGGTTATAGTACACCATCAAAGTAGACTTCAGTTAATTTGTATTAACATATATAAGTTTATTAGTACCCATTAGACTTACAGTTTGTATTTGTAAGAATTTCTATTGTCTTGATGCTTTATATATACTTTAAATTATTTTAATTTTATGTTAACTCTCCTTTTGATTTCATTAAAAAATGTATAAATTAAAACAGGGCAGCATTAAAATATTCAAAATCATGGAATTTTTTCAATTGGCAAAAAAGTAACGGATTGGAAACAGAACTGAGATGGATTTTATTTGGCAACTACAAGCTGAGAATTAGCAATGGAAGATAGTTTAGCAACGGTAAGATTTTGATAGTATTTTTCTTATAAGTTAGAAACGGTTTGAAATAATTAGAAACGTAAAATAGAAACGATTAGCTACGAATTAGAAACGTAAAATAGAAACGTATTAGCTACGAATCAGAAACGGATTTGGAGACAAAATCGAAACGGATTGTAATTGAAGCCAAGGTAAGAATTTGAAATGGAATTATGCGACACAAGCAACGGATGGTTGTTTTCGTTTCTAAACTGATTTAGAAACGCCCCAAGTTGTCACGGACAGAGTCTTTTGTTCATCCATTTCTGAACAATTTTAGCATTGGAATTTGCTCTTTTAGAAATGGAAATTTCCATTGCTATTCAGCAATTTTCTTGTAGTGTCATCATCACAATCCATCTCAGTAGCTTGAACCTTTCTTTTCTGTGCATCTAAAACGAGATCCTCAGCCTCTTCACCGTCATCATCATCCTTTTCATCTTTATTACTATCCTTATTTTCTTCCCTATGTAATCTGTCGCTAGAAAAATCTTATTTATTCTATTCCTTGCGGGATCTGTCACCAGAAAAATCTCCATTTTCTTCCTTGTGTGACATATCCCTAGAAACATCTTCTGCCTCACTTGGAGCTCTTTGACGTGATTCTTGCAAAATATTCTTATGCCGGTAATCCTAGAGAGCAAAACAATATGAGTTTGTATGGCATCCTCCAAGTTCCTCATAAAATCTACCTATAAGGTCTCTTCCTAGTCTTCTACTGATGTATCAGCATATTGCGGATAATGTTCACGTCTGTAAAGCTTCATTTTAAGCTTATAAATTTTGCAAATGCCATCATCCTAAATAACAAATGGTATGACACATACTTCCATACTCTATGTCTGCCACATTGACTGTAATATCCCGACTCGGCAAAGCGATCTTAAGAGGGCGGATAGAGCAAAGCTCCTGGCTAGCTTCTAAGATGACAGGCTAGCTATGGGTAGTGACGCGGAACCGGGACCGGGAATCAAAGGAATGGGATATAAGTTCGCCTCTATGGCACCCCACGTTTATATTGAAACGGAAACACCAATAATCGAGATTAATCGCTCTATGGCACACGCGGAACCGGGACGGGAATCAAAGGAATGGGATATAAGTTCGCCTCTTATGGTCACCCCACGTTTATATTGAAACGGGAAACACCAATAATCGAGATTAATCGCTTCTATGGCACCCCACGTTTATAGTGAAACGGTAACACCAATAATCGAGCAAAGAACAAGATTAAACGCCACAATGAAGTGATAAGTTTACCTTTAATTCTTGATTTAATTCTTAATGCAATTAGAGGAAGCAATTTCTCACTATCACTCTAAGCAAGGAGAACAAGCAAAGCTTGAACAAATGAAGTTTATCAATATCTTAAAAGTTGTGTTTACAATGAAGATGAGAGTATTTATACTAAACCTAAACATATTAGGTTACAAGATAACAAATAAAGCATAAAACATAAAACAGACATGAGTCGCGCTCACGCATTGTAGGTTCGCGCTCGCGACTTATGCTAACTAGCTCTCTGCCTCGCGAGTTGCGCTTCTCGCGCTCGCGCAGTGTAGGTTCGCGCTCGCGAGTTTTCGCGCTCGCGCAGTGTGAGGCCGACGGCTCGGCGAGTTGCGCGGCCTAACTCTCTGCCTCTCATTTGCGCTTCTCGCGGCTCGCGCGCTGCCTAACTCTCTGCCTCTCCTTTGCGCTTCTCGCGCTCGCGCACGGTAGAGTCGCGCTCGCGAGATGTGGTCGCGCTCGCGTATGTGAAACTCGCGCTCGCGAGTTACGCTGCCTAACCCTCTGCCTGTCCTTTGCACTTCTCGCACTCACGCAGGTCAAGCTCGCGCTCGCGAGTTGCACCAGTGTGTAGCAACTGTAGCAAAGTCAAGTTCAAATTTACTGTAGCAAAGTCAAACTTATTGGCACGGGCACTGTAGCAACATTAGGAGCCTAGGAATGCCTTCAAGGTCCTCACAACACGTGTTAAATGCGACATCATGAAGTTCTCGTGTTATTTGGGCTTGAACAAATAGTGATACGGCTGCTCCATATCGCTTGGCACGGCTCCTGCTCCCACATAATCGCTTGGGCAGGCTCCATTTGTAATCGGATCGCAATAGGGAGAGCGAACCAATTGGGACTCCGTCCTTCCGTCGTTAACGCAATAGCTCCTTGGAGGATCCAGCGACGAGTGGAATGATGATGGGATCCTGGTATCAGGGTGTAGGAATCGGCAGGACACACGAAAAATGAATCAGATTTAATATATTGAAAAAGGGGAAACTAATCATGCAGAGAGGTTGCTTTTTGTGAAATGGCTGGAGAGTTTGGGAAGAACTCCAAAGCGGTTTAAAGCTTCGCTCGCTTAACCGGAAAATCCTAAGATGGCGTGACCTCTTGGGAAGTTCCCTATTTCACTTGAGACGCACAAAAACTTCGTGAGGTCTTAAGCCAGTGTCCAGTAAAGTGGCATGGAATTGGCTTTGATTATTAATAGCGGCAACATTCTTGGTGGGTTTGGAGTCGGGATGACGAATTTGTATCAAAGCCGGACTCCTCATATAATGTATAGTCGTTTGTTCGGGGATGAACATTGCAAGAAGGCCTGGTTGGGGCTGTGAGACATCCCGACCGCAGCAACATTGATCCTGAGAGGGCAAGATAGAGCAAAACTCTTGCTAGCTTTCTAGGATAGCAGGACCTCAGTTTAATAGGTAGTGGCATGTGAGACATAGAAAATGATCAGATCATATATCGAAAAAGGGAGAACCTAGTCGAACAGAAGTGCCTTCTTGGTGGACTGGGTCTTGGGAGAGGTTGAAGAAGAAGATCAAGGGCTGAGCAAGCTATGCCTCCGCTCAACAAAAATCATATAAGGATGAGATGACCCTTAGGGAAGTTTCCCTTTCAACACTGCGGGTTGTCAATCTAATTTTATGGGGGATGGAATTGACGTTGATTCAAAGTCGGGCAACGATTCCATCGCGGGTGTGCTTGGAGCGGGCCATGGACAATTTGGGAACTTTCCTTGCAACTTATCACTCGGTAGGATTTCATGGCGAAATTGGGAGAGATCGTTATGAAGTAAGTAACCCACAACAACTCGCACGCTTGCTTTGAACAATGGATAAATATGCACTCTGTTATGAGTGATGTAACGTGTAAGATGCTTATATTACTGACAATATGTGGTTTGAACATAACTAGAATGCCTTGATTCATATATGTCCCAACGCTATAACTAGAAAAAAGAACTAAATATTATTATGTTAAAACATTTGCCTCATTGAAATGATGTTCTTATATGCATTAATTTTCATTTTACTTTGCCTTAGACAATCTAATTCACAGCCTATACGCTCATGCAACATATTAAGTTAAGATAGATACCATTGCTCGTGATCATAGATCATTTATTAAAGAGCAGAAATAAAATGGTGTATTCAATCTTGTCTTATTAATTTAAGAACAGACATTGACAAGCCTTTGTATCAAGCTGTCCACGAGTTTTGTTTTCATTCAATAAACATTTTCTACTTACAGAACCAATATAGTTATATATTGCTAAAAAGTGTTTCATAACTTACCATCCCCCAGCGAGCGGGCGGTTCTCTCTCTAATTGCATATTTCCCAACTTGCACCAATCATTATTGTCTAAAATCAAGGTGGGCAGAAGGATCTAAAATTTGTTTGGAGCTCTGTAAAAGACAAATTGCTAAAGGGGATGTAGTAGGTATTTAACATAGCAATGCATGATATCAATTGTTATGAATGGTTTATACACTAACTTTGGGATGCATCAACCATTTTTCATCTGTCCACCGACGCGGACAGATCCAATATTACGTCCTCCATGTGCTTGAGTGAAAAGGCATCTTTTTGGGAGCAATTTATTCAATTGTATGGCAACACAAACTTGGTTGCGTCCAAGATAACATCCTGCCACCTGGGCACAAAATTTTTTGCAAGAAGCAATAGCTAGGGACTAAATGAGAGCATGATAAGTCCGAGATGTTTTGGAAAAATCTAAAAATTAATCGGTGGGAAATTTCAAGAAGTGCCTGAGATATTCAGAGGCATTGAAATAATACAACAGGTGTAAAGGAGAAAGTCTTAAGTTTTTCAAAGCTAATTAAGCCCTTATTGTTTAGATGGAAATTGCAAGTTCAAACTTTAAAATGATCATTTTCGTGAAATTTAGGTTTGTTAATTAAAACTTTAAATTTAACTATGTAAATAAATAGTTAATCGAAAATCTAACCTTTAAACTAAGTTGTCATAAATGGATATATCAAAAACTTAGTGTTGGCATAATTAAATTTTAAAGGCACTATTAACTTGTCTATTCTATCCGTTTTTGCAGGGGGGCAGGTGGATAATGGGTGGATTTTAATATTACTTGCAAGCAGTCATCAAGATTTCCTACAAGACCGCGGGAATAACCTGAGGGTAACATTCATATTTAATGCCTCGGCCACCAGCCCAAATGAATAAGTACTTTAACTTGTAAATCAACACTGCATTATAAATGGACAAATATTGATCTTGCTCAATAACTTTAAATGAATGAAATATTATTGGCCTATTAGCTACACAAATAACCTACCCTTTGTGACTTGTTGCATCTTCACTGCTACAAACTTAGCCTTCATCCTCGCGCATCTTATCGACAATAATACTTTGATATATTGGTCACCCAGTTGCAAAAATAAGCTAGGGTTTTACCATATAATAGTATTAAGTGGGATCCTGCTTACCAGCTTGCGTTAATTACCCAATTATCATTAAAAGCTCACCGTAATTAATTAAACAAG